TTATACCTAAGGGTGTAGGTTGTGTATGTTTTGCGTTTTGTTTTGAGATGCGTCCCACAGGAAGAGGTCTGTGTCTCTTCCATGATCATAAGACTTCTGGTTCTTTGTGCTAGCTACCTCAAGGGCCTAGTCCTATCTGACTGCCTATAATATTTCAAACTAGCTTAGTTGCCTAAAACAATATAGCATATGGTGGTTCTTTTCAGGTATTTCATGACTGAAATCAACTTGTTAGGTGAGCTGTGCTTTCATTTTGAAACTCAACTAGGGAAATATACACTTGAAAATTGTTTTGTGTTTTTGTCAGAATTTAACTTTCATTTGTAGAATTCACGGAAAATTTTGTTTTAAACAACAGTGGAGAAATTCTCTAGGGCTTTGAATCTCTAATTTCAGGAAAGATCTGAATCTTCTATTAAAGGCCTCTCCTGATTGAATAAAGATGTTTCTGGCTAGTTTTGCTCTGGGTGGACTTAATGAAAACTGATTGTACAAGTTAATTTAAATGTTAATTGAACACATATAAATATCTTCACTTCAACTGTATTTTATTGGTTAAAAGGTACCTATAGTTTTGGCCTGCACTGATAAGTAACAAGCACTGTCAATCTGAGAATCCGTATTAAAATTCTTTCTATCCCTATCATGCTTCCAAGTGTGGAAATTTAATGCCAGCATAGACATGAGTAAATAGAGGAAGAATGCATTGGAAAAATACTAATAACAAACAATACCTAATGAAGCATAGAGAGAACACAATTAGAAATACAGATGAGAAAATCAATGAAAGTTATAAAATGTAATTAGACCCATCAGAGAGGAAATAGACTGGAGTAAAGACAATATTTATGTACAACAATACTTCATGTTTTTTTAATTGATTAATGATATTGTTAGAGGCAGCTAAGGATTTGGACTCTTGAGGAACTCAGCAGAAAAATAAGGAAACCAGAATTGTGGTTGGCATGCATTTAATTAAGGCAAAGTCTCAAGAAAAAGTCACACTGGTGAGACCTAGTGGAATATCCTAGGCCAATAGTGGAAATTTGAGATTATACTGTAATTTGAACCACGCAGCCTATTAAGACCAGAATTGAATGAGATATCCAGGTCAGTAATCAAGATATCTGGACACATCCCTTTCCAAATGTTTTCTTATTTTAGGTATCATAGTGATATAGGGGAATGAAACTCTCAACCTACTGTATGTCTGGTAAAAATTTTTATTCTCTAAAACTGAAGAATGTATTTTAAGAGCAACATAGGTTAAGACAGAATATATTTATTGTGAGAAAGAAAGCTTCTGTCTAAGAGAGAGAGAGAGAGGGACAGACAGAAGGGGTCCCAAGTGGATTGCCAAAGACTGTCTTTTATAAGGACTTTTATATAGTAAAAGCGTGAGTTGAGATATGTTTAAGATGAAGAAATCATGGGAACTCCCAAGGCAGATGAGCATGAGGTGGAACAGAAATATGGTCAATCAATAAGATTAATTGCTCTGTTAAAATTGATTAATTTAGGAACAAATGGGGAAGTGAGTCATGTAGTAAGTGTTACAGGCAACTGAGCTAGTTAGAAAAATTATAGGCAGTCAGACAGGGCTAGCCTTTCAAAGAAACCTGCACATAGGACCAGATGTCTGGTGACTTTGGAGGAGACACATCCCTTGCTGTGGGCCAGATTTTGGGACAGAAGGAAAAATAAATGCAATCACACCCTCAAAAATAATCCTTTTGGATTAAGTATGGATCACCTTTAGAAGCCAAGAGTCACCATACCAACCCCCTATTGGAAAGGTCGCTGATGTGACTGGCTTCTTTATTTTCTTCTAATTTAATAAATTTTTCCTGAGCAATTAAGCTTATTGGTTGACCCATAAAGTTCTGGCTCACTTTATACCCACTTTGCAAATTCCCAGTTTCCACACCTTTCAGTCATCTAATCTTATTATTTTGTTCTATAAAAGTACCTGGAAAATACAAAATCTTTGGCAACCCACTTGGGACCCCTTCTGTCTCTCTCAGACAGAAGCTTTCTTTCTCTCAATAAATATTTCTGCTCTTAACTTCTGTCATTCCTAAATTTCATTCTTTGATTTTAGGGAACACAAACTCATTCTGGACATATAGTAGGTCAGGAGTTTCATTCCTCTATATCATAACCATGGATGCTTAACAGCAGTTACTTTTCTTGTAGGGGATTGGAAGGTTGACTCCTGACTTCCTCAGGATGATACAGAACTATTTGGACTATCAATCCTTAGGATGTGGGTGTATTTACTTTACCTTTTGTCTTGAAAGCTGGCACACACCTGGAGGTGTTTGTCTCCTCCTAGGTTGTAAGATATCTGGATGTCTGCCCTGGCTCCTTTGAGGGCTCAGCCCTGTCTGACAGCCTATAATATTTCTAACTAACTCAGCTGCCTGTAACAATAGTGATGTATGGGAATGAAACTCCTGACCTACTATATGTCTGGTGTGATTTTATGTTCTTTAAAATCAAAGAATGAATTTTAGGAACAACGGAGGTTAAGAGAAGAACAGGTTTATTGAGAGAAACAATGCTTTTGTCAGAGACAGAGCCAGAATGGGTCCCAAGTGGATTTCCAAAGACTCTGTCTTTTCTAGGGACTTTTATAGGGTAAAACCATGAGGTGAAGTGGGTTCATGGTTGGGAAAAATGGGAACTCTTAAGGCAGGCAGGCATGAGGTTGTTATAGGAATCTTAGTTAATTAGAAATATTAAAGACAGTCAGATAGGGATAGGCCCTCAAAGCAGCCAGTGCAGAAGACAGATACCTTGTAACCCTGGAGGAGACATACACCTCTTGCTGTGGGTCAGTTTTCAAGACAAAATGCAAAACAAGTGTAACCACATTCTAAGTATAAACATCAGGGGTTGATATTCCAAACAGGTATGAAACACCTTGAGGAAGCCAGAAGCCACCATCTCAACCCTCTCCTGGAAGAGTCACTACTGCATAACAGTGCCCACTTACTATGTGACTCCCTCTCCCATTTGTCCCAGATTTGGTCAATTTTATTTAAACAATTAATCTTATTGGTTTTCCATAGTTCTGTCCCACCTCATGCTCATCTACCTTGTGAATTCCCAGGTTTTCCTCATTTTGGGCCCATCTCACCTCATGCTTTTACTCTATAAAAGTCTCTATAAAAGGTAGAGTCTTTGGTGACTCACTAGGGATGCTTTCTGTCTCTCAGACAGAAGCTTTCTGTCTCTCAATAAAGATATTTTGCTCTTTGTTGTTTTTGGTGCAATAAAGAAGCAGACTGTAAGAAAAAGAAAAGGTGAACTTTTTATTTAAAGGACATGGAGAAGAGCCCACAACCAGCAAGAGAATGGCTTTTTCTTCTCCCTGGATATGGGGGTATGAGGTGCATGTGACCTTTTACCAGGCATTGATGATGAAAGGAGCTGATTGGAATTTTCTTCACAAACATTGGGAAAAGAAGGAGGAAATTGCAATCAGCAAAGAAGGAGGAAGTGGCTTTCAGGGTAAGCATCTCCAATTTGGCCTTCTACCATGTTGCCATAACATCCTGTAATTTATTCTAGGGCAAATCTCTTTTACTCTTAGCCTCTATTGTTCCCAGTATTCACTGTTCAATATTAGAGAGCATTAACTCATACCAGACATATAGTAGTTGAAAGGGTTTTGGCACAGGCCGGATACTGTAGCTGGTAAAGCCAAGGATCTCCTATCTCCCCCCACCCTTAGGAATTACCTCTGGTGCCAAACTAAGACCAATGGACTACCTGTGCATCCCTAATGCCCCCCCTTAGGTTCCACCCCAAGCTGAGGCTACTTATGTGCCTCACTCCCCATGTTCCACAGAGAGATCGCGGGGCCCGGGGTGGAGATGCCATGGCCCAGGGGGTCGGGGGTATCTCTCCCCGCATTCCCAAAATAAAGGTAATTTATATTTCATACTGCTTAACTTTTCAGCCGCTGCTGCTCCCCCCCACCCCCAGTTCTATCAGATGGTTCCCTGACAGGGAACAGCAGGCGAGAGACTCCTGGGGCTGTTTCCAAGTTTTGAGTCCCCTGCTGTTCAGCACTGACCGGACTGCATCCTGCATTAATTCCTCACTTCTAAAGTCAGGAACTATAAGCTTGGCTGCTGGTTCACAAACAACACCCACCAATTTGCCCCAGGTGAGCAACTCCCCAGAGACAGCCACTGGACCAGGCTCAGGTGGATTTTCTCCCTGCTTTGTGAGGGTTCATGACACTTTCATGTCTTTTAGACAGCCCAAAACAAGGCCTTTCTGGGAAAGCTGGTGTCCACTCTGGACAACCCACACTGAGAGGCCCTCACATTGTTCCAGAACTTTTTAAGTTTTCACAGGCAGACAGCCCAAACTATGGGCTTTCTGGGCAAGCCCGTGTCCATCCCTGGACTGCCCACACTGAAAGACCCTCACTTTAGAGCTTTTTAAGTTCTCACAGCAGAGCGGTTATTCAGCCCATGCAAAGTTCACACTTAATATTGGTGATGGCCAATTATTAAGAGTTTGGAGCCATATAGCCAACCTGTAGGTTTGGGGTGCAGTGTGACGACTCTAATCCTGACAGGCCATGGTCTGTTGTCTCATCTGATTGTAGCCCCATGGGCTAGAACCCATACTAGATTTTATCTCGGGGACCACTTCCTGCCCCTCTCCCCCAGAAACCATACCTATCTATGGCTTATCACACTGTGGACAAGCTTACAAAACTCTCTATCTTTGTTTTTGGAATGTGCCCTTTCCCTTCCCGCCAGTGTTCCTGTCCCTTTGTCTCCTCCAGCATCCCTCCCCCTCCCTGCACTTAAAGAGATAACAGCATCTTCCCTTGCAGCCTTTCAGAGTTTTCTCAGTGCCTCCTTTCCTCCTGGCTAACCCTCCCCCCTACCACACTGCCAGTGTCCCTTTGTTTCCCATGCGCGCCAACCCATCCCCAGCAGACGGGATTAAAAATAAGACCAAACAATGTTAAGTGATTCACATAAAACTGCTTTAGATTTTAAACAGCTTTTGGCTCTCACACCGCGCTCCAATTCTGTGCAGTATCTGGGCTCTCATGTGGCGCTCCAGGTCCACGCTGGGTGGGTGTTTCTGTGCACCCCACAAACAGTTTCAGCTCCATGTGGTGACTCAGCTCCACATCCAACCCGTTCCCCATCATGCCAGCCCATTCGTGCCAGTGCTGGCCCATTCTGCTGTTGAGAGATATGCGCGGGACTGCTTTTGAAACAGCTTTTGGCTCTCGCTTGCAGCAGCCCCCAGCTCCACACAGCATTTTTCAGCTCTCACGAGGCCAGGTCTTGTGCCCTGGTCCCCTCCATAGGTTCAGCTTTTGGCACAATGCCCTGGGCCACGCACCCTGCAAGCAGCTCTTGCAGGTGACCATTCGCCGGCTGCTGGCTGTTGCCTCTGGGGGCAGAGCCACACTTGGCTAAAAGCTGAGACATGTCTCCCAGCCCCACCGCCGCCACCGCCCCGTCCGCTGCTGTGGCCACTACTGCCAACCCAGCCTCCGCCACCACCGCTGTCACCACTCTGACGCCCCCCCCCCCCGCCCTTTGCACCTTACACCGCCAGCTCCATCACCAACAGCGGGCCGGCCCCTGCAAGGTGGGCCCACTGCAGAGGCTACCATGAGCCCGCCCACCATTGCAGTCGGCACTGCCCCCCCTCCCACCGTCACAGCTAAAATGCATATTTCCCTGTGCCATCCCAGTGCCATTGTAGCCGTTTCCGGGTGCGATCTCAGCCTGCCCCTGCGCGCTGTGTCCCAGTGCTCACTCTGCCCACTCTGCGTATTCCATCTTAGCCTGCCCCTGTGCACTGTGTCACAACACTCACCCTGCCCACTCTTCATGTTCCACCTACTCGATGCGTGTCAGATAATCTCGGCCCTGGCCCCAAGCTCAAATATGCTCTTTCTGCAGGCATGCTCTGTCTGTCTCAGAGTTCCAAACTGCCTTAGACACTGCACATTTCCTAGACAGGCCCCTCCCAAATACTAGTGCTTCTTTCAACACAGACACATACAACATCTCGATGCTCCGCTGAAACATATATATTTTTTTTTTTTTTACAATTCAGTTCCCCTCGAGAGAGGCTATTTTTATTACAATTTTTCAAACCATTTATTCAAGGTTAGTGGCCACCTGGTAATTTTACCAGCCTTGTTTATCGATTAAAGTCTACACTAATCTCCTGTTTTAACCACTAAAATTAAGAGATATTTATCAATTCCTTTTTGCTGTGGACCACCAGTAATGTTCTAAATTTATTGCTTCTACTATACTGTGTTGTCTCCAATCTCCTGTTTAACAGCTAAGGTTATAAATTCCTTTTTGCTGGAAACCACTAGGTCTGTTCCAAGACAAGGGTTTTGTTAAAAATTCTAATGTTGTCCACCACCAGTAATGTTCTCTGTTAAATTTATTGCTTCTACTGTACTGTGTTGTCACCAATATCCTGTTTAACAACTAAGGTTATAATAACTTGAGAGTATATACTAAGTTAATAAATTTATTCATAACATTGGTAAACCTTTACTGCAAAATGTTTCCATTAAAGCCTTTTTAGACAGACTAAAATCTTTTTGTTAATTCCACGTGGCACCCTATAAAAAAGTTATATGCCATCCAGATAAAGCCTGCTCTCTGATATTAAGCTCCTACATACTTACTTAATTCTACAGATACCTTTTACTGTAGTCCAGATCTCAAGCAACAAGGCAAAACTTAACCTTCAAGCTCCACAGAGACCTTGATATGGTTTTTCATATTATAAATAACACTTGCAGTTCTGAGACAGACAAATATACACAAGGTAGAGCTACCCCCCTCCCATGGACCATGCTCAAATGCAGCAGAAGACATTGGGCCAAAAATGCCCCATCCTGGCATTCTTTGAGACCTTACTCCAGGGCTGCTGGGCTGTCCTGGCCACCAGAGAGTGGGTGGGCCATCCTAACTTCTAGCCCTCACAGGACACTGCCAGATTCATCACTGACAAAAATTGCTGCCAAAGACTGAGAGGGGCTAAGGGCCAACAACAGCTGCCTTTGTGGGTGTCTGTCTCAGAGTCCAAGTCACATTAAAACTCTCAAGGTAAGACATTCTCTATATTTGTGGACATAGAGGCCATATGTACAGAGTTCTTACTGAGTTTTCAGGCTACTATAATAAATCCTCAATGTCTGACTGAATATTAAAGGTCAACCTATGACATTTACAAACAGGGCCTATTTTGTGCAGGTCCCAGTCCTAAATCTTAAAATGCTTTTATTCCCTTTTATACAGGCTGACAGATACATTTGGTCTTCTCACTTTGTTTATACTTTTTCAGGATACATAAAAGCCTTTCTCACAACCAGGGAAACTGCTGATATACTTGCTAAAGTTCTGTTGAAGCAAAGCATTCCAAGGACTACAACCAGGTTACAGTGACGCATACCTGATATTCTTGGTTACCTCAACAGCAATCAAAGTTGCTAGACTGCCATCCTGGGTTCACATCATTCAGGCTAAGAGGTGCCCTCCTAGCCCCAAATCTGATCATTCTGAGTGGTCATCTCATCTTCTTCGGCCACCTGTCTCCATCTCACAAACCTCAGAGCCACAGTTAACAGGCTAAGTCATGTTTTGTTATCCACTTTGGTTCTTAATTCCTTACATTCTCTTAATGACCATTTTTACAGCAGGACTCTTTAACAGTATTGCCTACAAACTCCAATGTCATGCATACCATAGACAAGACTTACTGACCTACCTCTTAACTTTTATGCTTTCATATGGGGGCGTAACTTCTCTCAAAACTTCACTCCTCCTAATCCCACGTTTAATTTTCAGAATTCTGCCTTACCATGGAAATGATCCTACCTCAATGTCACACTGATAGGATGACATGTCTAAATCAAAGACACCTTTCCCTCTACCTCACTTGGGTCCTTAAATATGACAGTGCCATGTCTTCTCCTAACATCTTGTCTCTTTGTTTTTTCAGTCTAACATATGTGCATTCACCAGTGAAGTTGTCCTGGCTAAAATACCTGACACTAGCTTCTACCTAGAAATCAACCATCATCCCATCAACTCCCCTAGACCCCAGTACAGCACCCTCATCCAGCAGGAATTAGTTAAAGAGAAAAATCTTTGCCCTTTTCATAATAATCATAAGACGGGATATGAAAGGGTTCTGGCCCAGGCCGGATACTGTAGCAGGTAAAGCCAAGGAGCTCCTATCTATTCCCACCCTTAGGAATTACCTCTGGTGCCAAACTAAGACCAATGGGCTACCTGTGCATCCCTAATGCCCCCCCTTAGGTTCCACCCCGAGCCAAGGCTACTTATGTGCTTCACTCCACCTATTCTATGGAGAGATCGCCGGCCCCAGGGTGTAGATGCCATGCCCCAGGGGCTCGGGGGTGTCTCTCCCCACATTCTCAAAATGAAGTTTATTTATATTGCATACTTCTTATCTTTTCAGCCACCGCTGGTCCCCCCCCCCACAGTTCTATCAGTAGTGATATAGGGGAATGAAACTCCTGACCTATTATGTCTGATATGATTTCATGTTCTCTAAAATTAAAGAATGAATTTTAGGAATTCAGGGTGATAGGGAGCTATTTAGAATATCAGTCTTTATGATACAGATGCATTGATTTGATCATTTTGTTGAGGCCTGGCCCACAGTAGGAGGTGTCTGTCTCCCTCAGGAACTAGCTCCTTGCAGAACCTAGCCCTGTCTCACTGCCTATAGTATTTCTAATTAACTCAGCTGCCTGCAACAGTTGCATTTGTTTTGCTTTCTATCCTGAGATTTGGCCCATAGGAAGAGGTGTGTCTCCTCCAAGGTCACCAAACATCTGGTCCTCTGGGCCAGCTTCTTCTAGCACCTAGCTCTGTCTGACTGCCTATAATATTTCTAACTAGCTCTGCTGCCTGTTACATTAAGTGGAGAGTTTCATTCCCCTACATCACTGTCATACTGAAAAACAAGTGAAAGGAATTGAATAATGTTTGTCTCTAAGCAGTTAAAGATAAATGTTTGTGCTCCTAAAATTTACAAATTCCAAAAAAATAGATGAATAATAAAAATAACTAAGAAGTAACGAAAATTGTACATAAAAGAATGTGTATAAAATGATATGTCTAATAGAATATACATAATAAGCTGCTAGATACAAACTCAGATAGATCAATGATTTTATTAAAATATAAAAGGAAAATATATTTGAGTAAATCTGAAAAGTTATATACTGCCATATCAAGAAGAAAAAAATGAAAAATGAAAGCTGAAGATTGAAAACAGAATAAAACAGATCATGAAACACAAAATGGAACAATACTTGTGTTCTAGTTATACTATTAAATCATTGTTAAATGTTTTGTAAAATATTCTTGTCAAATGAATATAAAATAATTTTATATTCTGTGAATTTGATAATTCAACTTCAAAACAAACAAATAGCAAATTGACAGAAGCATGAGGAATAAAAGAGAAGTTTATCATCACTGGGTACAATTTCAACAATTGTTTCAATAATTTATTGAAAAAGTAACAGATTATATAGAAAACTGGTAATACTTAAAAATACATCTGAAAAAAAATTAACCAGTTGCTGTATATAGGACACAGTACTCAAGAAATGAAGGATGGATACTATTTTCAGAAACAGCAAAAATATTTGTAATATCTGGCCACCCGCTAGTAATAAAGCATCTTTCAATGCATTTCAAGTCTCAACATATTTTAAGGATTATCATAATGCATTAGCTGTTTTCTTAACACAGTGGAAATATGGTATATATCATTTGTAAAAATGCATCTTGACTAGTCTCAACATGTTTAAAACTTAAAAGATACAAAGGTAAGATGTCTGTTTCAAATCATTGTAATAGAATTATAGAACAAATGAACTGAAAGTCTTTAAAATACTAAATGTCAATTTGTGAGACGTAACTTAAAGTATAAAGAAAAACATTTGTGGTCTTAAATGTTTATATCAGAAAAGAATAACTTGCACGTAAACAATAAATCCAATAATTTTAAAACAAAAATCAAAGTTGCAATACTGACTGAAAGGGCACCAAACTTTCAAAATATGTCAGGTTTTAAATATGATCAAGGATATAGTATGATAAATGATAATCATATTTTGTAGCTAACATGTAACTGTTTTCAAAGAAAGATTTTTAAATCTATTTCCATTTTTAAAAATAGAATAAATTATCCATACAATTGATACAGTGATAGCCTTGGATATGGGGTTACTAGGATATTTTTCTTTAGATATCTGATTGAAAGCAATGATTTTTAATTTTTAAAATATGTTTAAATGTAGTAAGTTCTTTCTAGTGATAACAAAGTTAATTTGTGAGGCCAGAAGAAAAAGAAAAAATGCAAATTTTCTGGAAACTTCATGGAGAAAAGTAAGTCAGTGATTCCTGTGAGATGGAGCATCAAACACTATCTTTCAGTTTAAGATTTTTTATTCAGTGAGGCCAATATCTTCCAACAGATGGGGTTTATGAGACAAGGGTAGAAGATCTGAGACAAAAGTAAAAGGGATTTGCAATGAGTGGAGGATCAAAGGAGTTACTTTTGCAACCAGAACAGGAACTGGATCATTCAGTGAACATTATAGTATAAATTACACCCCAGAGAGAAAAATGACTTTAGGATATTAAATCTCCATTGCAACTGTCACAAAGAGTGACATCTTGGTAACACATGCTTTACTCAAAAATGTTTATATAAAGATAGGGAAAGCAAAAAGAAAACTATGAGGGAACATGTCCTCATTTTGCGTAGTACATATAGTGTGAACTAATTAAAGAGATTTTAAAAGACTTGTATTTCAAATATTCCATTTGAGTATATAATCATCTGAGTTTTTATTAAAGAAAGAGATTTCCATCAAATGCTTTTTCATTATTAGAGATTGTTCTCCTGTCACTATGAAATACTGTTTTTTACTGCCTTT